AAAAAATTACGAGATCACATTGAGCCGCCGGATGGAAATGATTGATTCTTCGGCTATGTTTAAAGTAAATATAAAAACGATAATTTAAGTTTTCTGGCCAGAATTTTTTCTTCCACCATTTCGCTAGTATTGTGAAAATGAAGTGGTTCATTAATCATGAAAGTTAGGATTTTTTTTTTTTTAATATTTACTTTAATTCATTAATCGATATTAGTCGTTTCATTGTTAAACTATCTAAAAGCGGAAAAAGCAGCATACAAAATATGAATAAATTATAGGCTACGAATATATCGTATGTCCAACATATTTTCAAGATTATAAAAACTATTTTAACATCGCAACAACTTCTTCCAGGCAATATTGTAATGACTGTACTAATGAGAAATGCCTTTTTAACATAAAGTTACTTCTATAATAAAAATTGAACCATATGTTTATCTCTCAGCTTGCGATGTTCATTTTTTCAAATATTTATATCAATTTTTTACGGATTAATCAAATTCTCGAGGTTACTATTATAATTTTTAAATATGTATTTCGAATCTACTACTACTACTACTACTACTACTACTACTACTACTACTACTACTACTACTACTACTACTACTACTACTACTACTACTACTACTACTACTACTACTACTACTACTACTACTACTACTACTACTACTACTACTACTACTACTACTACTACTACTACTACTACTACTACTACTACTACTACTACTACTACTACTACTACTACTACTACTACTACTACTACTACTACTACTACTACTACTACTACTACTACTACTACTACTACTACTACTACTACTACTACTACTACTACTACTACTACTACTACTACTACTACTACTACTACTACTACTACTACTACTACTACTACTACTACTACTACTACTACTACTACTACTACTACTACTACTACTACTACTACTACTACTACTACTACTACTACTACTACTACTACTACTACTACTACTACTACTACTACTACTACTACTACTACTACTACTACTACTACTACTACTACTACTACTACTACTACTACTACTACTACTACTACTACTACTACTACTACTACTACTACTACTACTACTACTACTACTACTACTACTACTACTACTACTACTACTACTACTACTACTACTACTACTACTACTACTGCTTTTTACAAGCAATACCGAAAGAATATTGAATTTTCAAATCGATATAAAATATAGATTTATTGCCTTGCAAAAAAATTTCGTAATAATTATATGTGATTAATGTGTGCATTAAAATTGTTATTAAAAATATATTTTATAACAATTTTAACTGGAATGTTAATATGTAATATTATAAATATTATAATTAATAAATATTATGAAAAATATATTCTTATAAATATTATGTATGTTAAAGCATGTTTTATAAATTACTTTATCATTTACTTATGTATTTAAAAAATATTCATCGAATAAAATCAAGAATTTGTCTAATTGGCAAAGCTAACTGTAAATTATACTTATAGTCAAATTCTCGTAGTGGTTTATCGCATTTTTTATTTTACCTTTATTATTATCTATTAAATTGAAATATTAAAAGTGTTCCGTTCGCTTTCACTTTAGCATTAATTTAGTTTTCTTCGTTATTTATCAATGGAGTATTTTGAATGAACTATTGTCACTGTTTAAATAAAAGCTTTATTAAAAATTTTGTTATGCCTGCCTAATTAATATGACATGAAATTAAATTCATATATACATGTTGCAAAATTTTAGTAAAACGTCAGTATATTTATATTGTATGAGTATCAAGCATAATATGTTAAAAGACACTCTTATTTTTTACTCTTTTCAGCTTGTATTATTGCTATTCGTATATATATATATATATATATATATATATATATTAGTATAAATTTCTGTTTCTAATAAGATTTTAAGAAAAGATAGATAAAAAAATCTGTGCCATATGAAGTCAATAGATGTTGGATTAAGATCCGAGGATAAAATTCAGGTAGATGATGGCACGGTCTTGCTGTAGCTTATGTTAAATGATGGTAGATGAGAAGGAGGAAAATTGGATTATTGAAGATGCAACGTTTACCAACCATATCCAATAGAATGAACTCTGCGCTTTATAATGTAGCGAAGGCACTATAATCATATAGTTGAATAAGGTAGGAAGACCAATCAGTTACAGTGGAAGAAATATATCTCTGAGAAGATTAATCGCTTACTACGATATATCCAGAACCGGATACACTTGAGAATTTGGTAAAACCGAACGAGTTGCTCAGTGTTAGTAAATAAAATGACAATTTTTTTACTCGATTTATTATTGTTTATCCCTGTGGATTTATAACTAAATAATCTGTAAGAGCATAATAACTTTATATATTGTTAAGTAAATTCGAGATAGAGTCGCAAATGAAATATATTATTCTGCTTATTTATATAGTAAATTTATATATATATATATATATATATATATATATATATATATATATATATATATATATTTATTTATTTAATCATTGCAATACAAAAGTGAAAAGAAAGAAATTTATTTTTAAATTTATCTTTGCTTTGGGAATGACAAAATCTACTACCGATAACTATTGTAATTATTACTAAAATCTATATTCCTTTTAGCCTTCTTATACAACTACTCATTTTTCAATGCATCATCAATAAATGTTCGATGATTATGATCTTCGTAATTTAAAGTATTTTATTGAAAAAAAAAAAGAAAAAAAATCTCGCATTTGTCGATTACGCAAGGCGAATTGTCCTGACAATATGATAAATAAAACCTAAAATCACGCGTTCACAATATAAAATTGCCCGACAATGTGCATGCTCCCTCCCTCTATCAATTTGCAATCAAATAATAAACAACCAATTGTATTCTTGGAAAATAACATTTTTAAAATGCAGTCTCGAGAATCCAACTTTTGATCTTTACGGAGATGTAGCCTGGGCCAAAGGCTCGACAAAATCGACAAAACATCGGCGCGACCTGACCTGAACTTTTGGCAATTTCTCGCCAATAGACATCCTCGATGCATTGCAGCTTCGCGAAGAGAGTTGATCGTGCTTGGATTACGTAGAGAATCTCGGGTGGCTGGGAATCCCACGTGGACTCGTCCGGGACGCTGCTGCGATGGAGAGGGAGAGGAGCTCAACAAGTGTTCGTACATCCTCCCCGACGTTGGCTCGGCTTCCCTCCCGCTTCGGCGTCGCGCGCGTTTCTCTCTGGAGGGAGAGAGGAAGCGCGCGCCGCCGCTGTCGTCTCCGCCTTCTTGGCTCTCCCTCCTCGTTGGGGTGAGATCGCGTCCCGGGGGTCGTCGATCGTTTGCGCCCAGCGTCGTCCCCTTCCGCGCTCACCTCACTGGGCCAACTTTCAAGGTAAGTCAAGAAATAGTTGGCCGCGAGCGTCCGGATTTTTTGCCTCTACACTTGGTAGGAAGTGAGGCGAACCCGATCTCTTTTCAATTAATGGGTGCGTGGTCACCCATGGCTGCCGTTCCTTAAAGGAATGACGTTTTTCAGTCAACAGGATGAATAAGCGAACGATAAATAGAGTATAATGTGTCTATCCAAGTGGCAAGGGATATCTTCAAAGATATCTCGGATTTTATACTTTTATTTGATAAAAAGAAATAATTTTAAATTGCATTTCACGCATCTATCACATTGCTACGATCAGAGATCCGTTTAATACGGCAGATGGGAGTTTTCCCTCAAATTACAGTTATACATAGCTAGCGGACATCGTTTATTTAAACTTTGCCGAAATAATGCAACCTCTTTCATTATAATATTCGCACTAAATTAATCATCTCAATCGTGAATATATAAACCATTTGCATAATTCCGATGATTCATTCACTGAAAATACCTAAATAACGATGAAACGATATTGATTAAAACTCGATAGATGAATTTAATGATCCTGGTACTGTATTATAATCTTAAATAGATAAGAAACGTTTCAATTACGCGATCTGATCATGTGTTTACATTCGTCGGGAATGCATCGGCATCTAGAAATATAGGGGGGCCAAGGGAAAAGTGCATGAAAAGCTTCATTAAAAAGAAGCCAAAGAGGTAAATTCGTCCTCCAGGTCCCTGAGATCGGTACAGCTACGCCGATGTTGCCACCACCAACGTAAAGGACATCGCCACCGTCGTCGTCGCCGCCGCCGTTGCCACCGCCGCCACCCCCACCGCCGCCGCCACCGCTCGTCGGGAATGCATCGGCATCTAGAAATATAGGGGGGCCAAGGGAAAAGTGCATGAAAAGCTTCATTAAAAAGAAGCCAAAGAGGTAAATTCGTCCTCCAGGTCCCTGAGATCGGTACAGCTACGCCGATGTTGCCACCACCAACGTAAAGGACATCGCCACCGTCGTCGTCGCCGCCGCCGTTGCCACCGCCGCCACCACCACCGCCGTTGCCACCGCCGCCACCACCACCGCCGCTGCCACCGCCGTCCTTACCGTCGCTCCCCGGCCCGCGTGCGGTGGGTGGCGCGCCGCCGCGTCGAGTCACGTGGCCCATGGCCCCGCCCCCGCGAGCCTCGCCACGGCTCGCCGCGGCCGCGTCATTCATGGCCGAGCCAAAGGCCGCGCCGCTCTCTCGCTCGCGCGCACGCGAGAGCTCCTCGCGCGAGGTCCGCCGCGCCATGCGTACCGCAGTGACTCGACGCCCGAGGCCCGCACCGCTTGCGCCCGGACGCGACGCGCCGCCGCCGCCACCGCCGCCGTCGCCGTCGCCACCGCCGCCCTGTCGATAACCGCGTCGGGGATGCGTTAGGCGCCTGAGGGGAGCCGCAGGAGGAGGCAGCGCCGAGGGAGCCGCCGTTCAAGGGCCGAGGAGAGTCGCAGCACGGTGGAGGGCTGGCTGATGCACCGGGGCGCGGCCGCCGGGGCTGGGGGCGCGGGAGCCACCGCCGCGGCCGCCGCCGCCGCCGCTGCGGCAGCAGCAGCAGCAGCAGCCGCGGGTACGAGGGCCGCCCTCGAGCTCGAGCACCACCACCACCACCATCACCACCATGGGACCGCGATGTCCGGGGCGCCCGGAGCTTTCCACTGGGGCGCGGTCCTCGCGGGCCACCACCACGCGGGCATAATGCAGACGGGGCCCGAGTACGCGCCCCAGCCGGCTCACCACGGGGGCGGCGGGCCCGTCCCCGGACACCCGACGATGCCTATGGACCTCCACGTCTCGCAGCCCTTTTCCTACTACAGGTGAATTTTCTATATTAGAGTAGGCTTGAGGTTGTGGCTAGCCACGGCTGTTACGCGGGTGGCAGCATGCGCCTGCGAATGTCTCGTTGGCCCTTTTAAGTTTCGTTTCGTCGTTTAAGAATTGGTTACAAGTGCCGGTACGCGGACCGGTGGCCTTCCCCTCGTCCTCTTAGTGTCACTACCGTGAAGGGACACGATTTCTCTGCTACATCGTTCGACTGCCAGCTTCACTCGCCTCTTTAACGCATTAACTTTGAAAAGTGACCGCGCAAGTAGTTGCGAGCAGAAACCATTTACAATCAATGTAAAAACTTTGTTAAAAAGATCCTTTTGCCATTTATTAACCTTACATAGACTTTCCAATAATATTATAAGCGACGCACACCTTTTCTCCACCTCTCTCTCTCTCTCTCTCTCTGTCTCTCTCTTTCTCTCTCTATCTCTATCTCTCTCTCTCTCTCTCTCTCTCTCTATCTCTATCTCTCTCTCTCTCTCTCTCTCTCTCTATCTCTATCTCTCTCTCTCTCTCTCTCTCTCTCTATATATATATATATATATATATGTATATATATGGTCAATACAATTTAATTATGTTCTTAAATAGACTTACTTTTCTTAAACTTTAAATATTAATTTGCAAGTTTAGCCATTATTTGCATATTGAAAAATAATATATAAACATGTTGCGTGCATGGATACGTACGCGTACGTGTGTATGCCTGCTGGTGATAATTGCTATAATTAGTTGAATTTTGTCCATAAAGTAGAATGATTGCAATCGTATTCTTTTTCCAAAAATGCGTATCTTAAATTTTTATCGAAAGAAAATATTAATAATTTCTTCTGAAATAATCAGCGTTTTAATCAATTCAAACAGATGTCAATCAAATACATTTTGCTTTAAGTTTTCTCTGGGGTGTAAAATACATGCAAATGTAAATTTTTAACTATTGATTTTAATAATTATTCATTTATGTTGAGTGCAAATTGTAGTTATACTATTTGTCTGGCCTATTGTAGATTAATCGTTACAATTTTTAAATATATAAAGTACAAAGTTTAATAATTGAATTTTTCTTGACTAATTAAATATTAAATTAGTTAAATATTATTAATGAAATGGTATTTTATCTTTAATTGTATAATTATTAGCTTATACGATACTATTTTAGAAGCTTACACGATTTGTAAAAATTTGTATTATAAGAAATGAATGAATAGTCATATAAATAGTAAAATTAAAAAAAAAAATTTATAATTTAAACTATATTCTAAACACGATTATCATTAATTTTTACGAATTATTAATATTATTTTCATTTAGTAGTTAATAAATTCAAATGACATTGAATTGTTGTATACAGTAACAAGTAAAGTGCGCAAAATCATATAAATGTCAATATAAAAATTTGCTTGCTGTTCAATTTAATATAATTATTTTAAACGAAATATATATGTATATATATATATATATATCCTTCTATATCGTATTACATTTTTAATTTTTAGTCAAAGCATGTGTTTAGAAACTCAATATATCGGTATTTAATTTTTTTTAAACTAATATTGATTAATAGATTGGTACGGACATTGTAACTGGTAGGCTATTATTTGCATTTACATGAACTTTAATGCCTATAATTCAATTATTTTTTACTATTCCTTCATTAAAATTATTACATTAAGTAAATGAATTTTATGATTGTGATATAAAAACTTTTTTCTACATAAAGTTTCAAGTCAAATAAAATAAGCAATTTTTCAATTATGTATCCAACGCGATATTTCATAAAATTATTTTAATACACTGTTTACAGTAGCTTTACTTGTACACGTAGTAATGTTAACGTACATTAAATGAATGTCGAATGTGTGTGTATTCAGTTTTGTTGCAAATGGTCTTGCATATATAATAAATAATCGGAGTGTCTTTTGTCCATTAGACAGCACAGTTTAAAGTAACATGTCCGGTGAATCGTTATTGTAATGCAAGAAACACCGGTTGCTCGAGTATTCCACTCGTATCGACGCGACGGAGACGCGGAAAATTTAATGCTCGATCGAGGTACGCCGTATGCTGTTAGATTTAAAATTTTCCCTAGAACATAACTCCTTTCATATTTTTTTTCTCTTACATTCACTCTCTCTCTCTCTCTCTCTCTCTCTCTCTCTCTCTCTTCCCTTTCCCCTCTCTCCCATCTCTCCCCTCTCTCCCCTCTCTCCGTACAATTCTTTGACGTTAAATTGCTTGGATTAATCTTATCCAATAAAAAAAAGTGAGACTATATAAAAAAAAAAAAAAAAAAAAAAAAAAAAAAAAAAACTATCAATTACTTAAGGTTATAATGCCGTCATCCCGAGGTATCCATATTTCATTCGTTAATGAATCTACGACAACTTACTTTTAATGGATCTAACTAATTCCTTTGATTTCTCGTATTAATTTATGCGTAACCATCATCATAAGATAATGTGTGCAATGAACAAATTAATATTATTTGGTCTCGTTACAATCGACGACATATCTGTCGTTCAGATTTATTTTCATCAATTTTAAAGCTCGACTTAAGTGGTCTCTTTTCATTTTCACTTTTCGCGATTTGAACTTGTAGAGAGCCTCGGTGATTTTGGCGCACCAATAGTATCCACGAATCGCGAGAACTCGCGAACGGGACGGCCCGACGTGTCGTTGAGCTACCGGTCGTTTTAGATTATTTTTAGATCACCGTTTAGGCGTACATTTCTGTGTCCCGTCCGGTCGCCCGCGATTATTTCGACCACGAGCCCTTAATATTATCTGCTTGTCGCGCGCTTTTATCTGTCCTCGCGCTTAAGGTTAAGCGAGTCGCAACCGCTAAGTTACAATTCCTACCAAATGGAAAAGTGTTCGATTATCAGCACTTTTTAATTTTCGTCCACGCATCGCAATTTCAACATTTAAGATTAATAGAGATCACGTCATCGCACAAAGTCAATATGGGAAATTTGTTTGCCTTCCTTGAATGAGATGGTACGGTGGGACTCTTCGGGCAATATCGTTCGCAATGACTTATGAAATAATTCGATTCTTAAAGGGCAACGACTGAAAAGTGTCTATCGAAAGAGTTGGTAGATTCCTCTTTGGGGTACCTCGCACAAGCTTATCGTGGCTGACTTTCCATTACGTTGGAAATCAGAGCGATGTCCGCGTGAGTTGAGACGATACTGATAATCCGGGATAATTGAGGGACAGTGAAATAGCAAAGGTGCGTAAAGCGCGTATTTTGCCCTAAACAATGATGCGTGTTGGATGATTTAGCTGAGCTAGGGACTCCCGGCATTAAATAGCTAAGGTGTGCGTCCGAGTAAGGGATGGGTAGGGAATGAGGGTGGAACAATTAGCACATTACTTTTTGTTTGTTATATCAATTGTACGGCGAATACGGTTTTGTAGTGCTTGATAGTTTACATCGGACCTTTTTCACCCTATTATTTTGTCCTGGAATTAGCGCGTAAGGGTTTATGCAAAATCGATGTGTCCTGTCGTTGGAGCTGGTTTTCTTACGGCTAATGCCGTCGGCAATCGGCTTCGGTCGTTTTAAGGATAACCGCGTGATCGATTTGTTTCGCAGTTGAAATTAAACTCTTCTCGGATCAATTTTGTCGACGTATTTCATTGGTTAAACGATTTTCGTTTATTAAAAAGTGTTGTGGTTCGCGAGTGCGGCGATAAACCGAACATTGTATAAATATAACACTTTCGAGTGATTTTTGATTTAAGACATTATTATACGCTTCTCGTTGATAGAGTGAAGAATCGCGTGAATAGTTCATCCAATACATGAAAAATATATTTATATGTATTACAGATTATTAACTTTAATAACGACGTCGTATAGGCGCATTAAGACAGTTATAAAGTACGTTAAGACGTTCCGTTTTACGACACCAATATTTAATTTAGATTTTACAAGTTAAGCAACCCTGGCTTTTTAATTAAATTATTTTTTATGGTCCGAGTGGATATATGCATTTTATAGACTTATCATCAGTGTTTTGTTCTATATGATTGAAAATATTTATTTGTTTACATATTGATTGAAATAAAAAATTTATATTTATTATAAACACTTTGACCGCTGGCTTTTATGTACAATAGTACTAAAAACTCATTTAAATTTGCGAATAGTACTTGGATATTCGATAAAGTACTCGAGTAATTCTGAACCACTCAATTTTTAACAATGCAAGAGTATATTTTAACTTGTAAAGTTTTTTTTTTAATTTTGTCGCGACATCGTATCGGGAAATGAGAGATGAAAGAAATAAGTAGAGAAAGGTAAAGGCACTATAGATTAATTTCTATGTTTACGAGTGCATATATATATATATATATATATATATATATTGTCAACACCAATTAGCGTCGAGCGAGAAAACTGGATATGCGTCACGAATACCGTGAAGTTCTATAAGTGAAATATTACACGGATTTCTGAAGCTTCATGACACATTAGCTCCAACAATTGCTGCGATGCCAGATGTTGTGCGATTGTTGAGTGATTAATTGCACGGTAAGAAACAAATCGCATTATTATTATTCAATGAATATTTGGACATTGAATTTGAATATAGTTTACTTATCGCCATGTGGCATTCTACTAAAATTCAAGTGTAGTTGCAAGCTCTCGGTCAGTATATCTGCCAGTCGATCAATCGCACTGAATTCATCGAAAGGTAATTATTTGGGAAATTTGAAATCGATAATTCGTGCGTAGGAAAACTCATTAAAATAATATCATGGTAATGATTTTGGCCGATTAATTCACCACCACTACCCATTACAATTTCTTCATCTCCTACTGTACGTGCATAAAACACGAGCGCTCGGCATTTTAAACGACCCGCATTCCAAAATTTCAATAACCTAACGTCTCTTATCAAGCTCGCCTATCCAAAGGTTAACGACTTTTTCAAAGTAACCGAGCCCAAGTTAACAGAACAAAGAATCCATTAATAAA